GTCACCGCGCACAGCCCCATGGGAGTTGTAGTTCCGCGGGCATTCCCCCATGGAGCCCCGTGGGAGTTGTCATTCCTGGGGTGCCTCCACGCTCAATCATGGCCACTAGGCCAGGCTTCAGCCTGGGTCTGGGCCTGATTCCTTTTTTTTTTCCCTTTGTTTTAAATAAACTCAGGAATCTCGTTTAGACTTTAAGATCTTATTTATTTTTTCTGTGCTGGCAGCAGAGACGGGAGGTTGCGAGCAGCCACCGCTGCACAAGTTGGGAGGGCTGAGGAAAGCGGCCGCGGCTCTGGGGCGCAGGGGTCCTGGCGGCTCCGCGCTGCCCTCCCGCGTGCAGCAGGGCCCGTGGCTGCGCCCTGCTACGAGTCCTGGAGGAAGGTGCACACCTGGAGGAGATCTGGAAAACGGGGCAGAAAGGAGGGATTCAGGGCTGGCCCGGGGCTCTGCTGAGCTGGGCACAACCCTGTCCCGCACGGGCCACCACCATGGGGACACATCGGGCGCTTGGCCGCTGTCCAAGCCGTGAGGCCAAGAGCTGCGTTTCATCGACGCCTTCCTGGGGCGTCGCGCTCACCTGAGGGGTTGCACGTGTTGAGGCTGGCGACCGACGCGTAGTACTGGTCTCCCAGGAATTCCTTGTACGTTATTCCTTCACGGAGGTCAACCAGGCACTTGGTCAAGTCTTTGAACAGAAGATCCTTGGTCTGAGACTTAAACATCTTGAATCGGTCTTTGTCGCTTCCCCTTTCTCCGAATAATTTCTGAAATAAAGGCATAGAGGAAAAGCAGAGAGGAGCTCAGAATTAGCCTGGTACAAGCCTCAGTCGTGGTGCTTCACCACGAAGCCCTTCGTCAAGCTCCAGAAAGAGATGGAAGCAAGAGGCACCAAATTCCCAAGGGCCTCCCAGTCCTGGGAGCTCATCTCGTCTTTATCTATGGGCATTTGCTAAGGTGAGCAATGGAGGAAGAACAGATCTGAAAGGATGGCAGGAGGAGGCAGCCAGCGGATACAGAGGTGCAGAGCTGTGACTCTGCATTCATAAATCAAAATCTTTCATGTTTCACTGACTCAGTGGAACTCAGGGCATCGCTCCTGTAAAAAACTGCCACCATGCAGTACAAAAGCAAACCCAGGACATTTATCCTGCAGCCAGTACTAACCTCCTGTCTCTTCAGCAGATCACGTATTTCATTTGCTTTCTCAGGACGTGAGATCACACCATGGGTAGGAACTTTTGCCAGGTGGCAGGTTCTGTAATCCATGACATTTGCCCTTCTCCCATCCAGGCACAGCAACTCGAATTGGTCCATTGTCAGATCTTTGGCCCAATCCTCTTTATTTTTGCCTTCAAAGAGAATTGGAGATTCAGGTATCTTCCCTAGCAGAAACATCAGCCTCACAGCACCCAATCCAGGCATTTTCTAATTGCATATATACACACTGACCCTTGGATACCCCACATGTACAGAAGAGCTCTAAGTAAAATTCAGAAAAAAATCAGTGGGATAAGTGGGACTCCCAGAGCAGCTGCAAGATTTATTCACGCATCCTTTCTTAATATTCAGTGTATTAAAAGGCTTATGTCTTCCTTTCTCACACTGCTTTGAAAACATCAGTCACAGCTTTTAGAAAAATAAACTGAGCCTCCGAGCTGCAGACAGGAAGATCATGCAGGAGCTCGCAGAGGTGTCGGGGCAGGAGTCTGTGCCTGCCTCCACCACAAAAATACGCAGAGCTGGGGCTGGTTTGGCTGCCACTCACCATTAGTGTTTTCCTCGACGATCGAATGCTTGATAAAGGCCACATCCCCCTCCTCGACGAGGCACCTGCAAAGTACAAAGCAAATCAAGCTGGGCAGCTGCTTGAATCCATGCAGCAGGGATCTCTTTCCTACTAGGTGCACATGAAACAAGAGTTATTCTCCTTTTAAATACATGCCCAGTATGAATTACTTAGACTTGGCGTTGTTACGTGAAGGATACACAGGAGATGGAATTGGGCTTGACCTCTCACTGTCCCTTCACTTCCCTCTTTAAATTTTACAGGAGGGTTTATTGAAGGTGAGACCAGTTTTAATTAACGGGCAGCGCCTGGTGGAGGCGCTTTTTGATGGTACTCAAGCGCGGCCCGACTATTTCCACCACCTACCGGAAAGCTCCAGTGTAGCCATAGTATTTCTCGTGGCTGCTGGCGACACACTTCTCCGGCGGGATCCCCCCGGAGCCCTTGCAGAGCCTGCAAAGCCGGGAGCCGGGAGGAGACCCCGGCGCGCAGCTCTCGCTGAAATATTCCTCTGAAGGGAAGAACGGGAGAAATTCAGCGCACGTTTTGTCCACCTGAAAAGCACCCGCTTTTCTCTGAGCCTCTGTGACCCTCAAACACG